AAGGGTTGTTGGCTCTTAATGCATCTCAACCAGTCCCTTTGCTTTCTTTTGTTACTGGGATCCTTGAACCTGTTGCTTTAACGAGCAGGAGGGCCAGTTGCCATCCTGGTTTAGAAGAAGGAGGGGCCAGTGGCTGATTTCTCTGCCACCGGCTGTCTGTGTGGCCCTGGTCAAGTCACTTGGGGGGGGCGGGTCTTGGTTCCTTGTCAAGGAAATGAAGCAGCGCTGTACTGCCTGGCTGGTGTTCATCTTGGGAGAGAAGGGCTGAGGAGCTCAGCCCCTGCCCCAGGTGGGTTGTTCCGTGAGGCTAGTGCCAGTCTGCAGTGCAGACTGCTGGAGCCAGCGTGGTTGGGCTGGGGCAATGCCAGGGCAGGGCTGCAGCCCCAGATGTGAATCCAGCTGCTGGTGCTCACGGGTACAACCTGCATCGAAACAGCCCCCTTGATAACAAAGGGGGGGTACGGTGTTCCCTGCTCTCTCTGCTGCCCCTCTTGTTGTCCCCTCCCTCACGGGGACAGGCCTGCCCTGACAACAGACTATCCTCCATGTTTGTCATCGGTCAGAGTTCAATTAATAAGGAAGCAGGCAGGCGCCTTGCGGCCTCTCTGGCCCCTTATCGTTCTCTGATAGCACCTGGAAATCCCCGGGCCCCATCCGCCCCACGCTCACTGCTCCCGTGATAAGGTCTGTGCAGCAGGGATTGTCTTTGTAGGCGCAGCACCGAGCGCGCAGTGGCGCCGGGACCAGGGCTCCAGGATGGGACAAGTCATCAATCAGAGCGGGATGATTCACGGACCTGCCTTGGGATCAGGACCCCACTGTATGTGGGGCTGGACAAGCTGTCGCCCACCCTGCCGGGGGGAGGGAGGGGGCTGGCATTGATAAGGCCAAGGGAGTTAATCATCCTTTGGGTGCAGATAGCAGGGGAGGCCAAGCTGAAAAAAAAACCTCATGGGCTGGAGCTGAGTTCTCGCCTGCTGCTGTAACCACTGCACCGGCCTGCCTCCGAGTCCTTGCTGAAGCTGTTGGAGCGGTCAGCCAGGAAGGGGCAGCCAGCTAGGTCAGGCCTGTTGAGAAATTCAAGGGGGTTTCCAGCTTGGAGTCAGCAGGGCCTGGGCCCAAGGGTGCAGCTGCACTGATTCCCCCCAGGCGCGCATGGGACAAGGCAGTGGGGCCAGGAGAGCAGTGGGGGTGGGAGCTGGCAGTGCTTCTAATCGGGAGATCGGGGTGCAGTGGGCGGTGCGGCGTTCCCAGCCAGCCACGGCACCCAGCTGTAAACCCTGTTGGGCAAGGCGAGATCCCGCCCTGAAACCGCTGGTGGGAGAGAGAAGGGGGAGGGAGGCGCCTTTCACCCAGCTGTGGGCAGCTGGGTCCCAGTCTGGCTGCACTTGCCCCTTTCCAGCCTCCTGCATGGCCCCATTCCCAGCCACATGACAGAAGCAGACCCAGAGCACAGGCCCCACTTTCCAGTGGGGGAAACTGAGGCACAGAGAAGGAAAGGGAGGTCACGCAGCCAGACTAGGAAGGGCTGAGGTGCCAGGTATGGCACTGCCCAAGGCAAACCCCTGCAGAGGTCTTGGGAGGAGCAGAGGGATGCAGGGTGCCCCCACTCTCGGCTGGAGCAGGGTCTCAAAGGTGGCCAGAGTGGGTCTGTCACATCACTGAGTCCCAGCTTGGGGGGAGGCGTGGCCCTTTGCTAGGAGTAAGAGTTAAAGCCATCACCAGCTGGCAGAACCCCCCTTGGCTTTTCTGAGCAAGGGGTGCAGGTGGGGGCAGACTGGCAGCTGGGAGCTGAGCTGAGCAGGGTCACTTCTGTCCCCCACCACCCTGGCCACATCCCCAGGGGTATGGGCTGGGGGGCATTTCCCTATGGGGGGGTCTCCACCCTTCATCCCCTGCCCCAGTGCCCTGAGCAGACCCCACATGCAAGGGGGAGAGCACCTGGATTTCACCCTGTGCATGGGCTGCTTCTCCAAGCCCCAGCTCCAGGAGTCAGGGGATCAGGGCAGGGAAGGGCCTGGCTGGCTCGGGAAGGGGGGACCCCAGAAGCCCAATGAAAGGGCAGGGAAGAGCTGGCAAATCTCCTGCTTGCTGCTGCCTCTCTCGGTGGGCACATTGCAGCCTGGCACCCCCTGCCGGAGCCTGCTGGGGCTCAGAGGCTGCCCCTGGCTAGAGCGGCTGCAGGCCGGGACGTGCTGCTCCTCCCCACCAGCAACAGCATCGCCCTTTGGATGCATCTCTGGAAAAACCAGCTGGGCCACAACCCGGAGCTCCTACTTAAAGGGCCAGCACAGCTGGGGGGGAAGGGAGGGGGGCACATCCCAGTCCAGCTTTGCCCATTTCTCCACCCAGCGTGGGTGTCACAGATGCTGGAGGCTGGCAGCTGTAGGTCCCACCAGGGCTGCGAGCTTCCCCCATGCCCAGGGAAAGGGCAGGCTGGGCATGTCCCTAGCTCATGGGGCACATGGCAACCCCAGAGAGCAGGCAAGGCCCCAAATGCCCCAGCAGCCCAGCCTAAAGTGGGGCATCCCCAGCTGATGTGAGCTTTAAATCCGGTGGCCATGGGGTCCCCCCCCCAATCAGAATCCACCCCCCAGGGCCTGCCTGCTGCTTGTCAGGCCCCAAGCTGGGCTGGCTGGGGAGCAAGAGGCCTGGCAGGCAGGGTCAGGGGTCACATCCTCATGGGCAGACGAGCTGATTTTCTGCCCCCAGCTTCCTGGATCCCACGGCTCGGGAGTCAGTGACTGCACAGGGGCAGGAAGGTGACGGGAAGGGAAGGGAAGGGAGGGGATTGCTGGCAGTGCCCCTGCAGCACAGA